GACTACCTCTATGTGTTGCTATTGGGTAATATTATGCACAAGCTAGAATTTATTTCTGTTTACATTGAGAGATCTCATCTGCTACCTGCCAAGCATCTCATGTTCCTTTATAAAACTCTTCGAAAATTATGGAAATGTCATGCAGTAATTTAACTGTCCACTCCACCTGTAGGATAGATTATCAGTAACTTCTTGTACTACCTCCTGAAAAAATTGTTCTGGAAGAAGGGGGTCCTCCAAATCTGGTATGGTAAATACATAACCTAAAAGCCTCAGTGGCTTATATCACATTGGACAATGAGTCAGGTTTAAACCTGAGGCGAGTTAGAATGTCTCATAATATAATAATAATAATAGTTGAAAGACTATTTTGAGTTGAACAACAAAAGGGGAATCTTCAGTGATGAATTCTTTATAGGTCTATATTTTTCTCATCGATTCCTGGGAGAATAAAAGCCACAATAGCCCTGGAGGGTCTTGTTCTGTATTCTGCTTTGAATTCTTTTTATCCAAATGTGTTTGCCTTAGCAGACAGAGGAAGCCAAACAAAACTATTTCAAACAGTGAACTTGGAGTGAGGGACAATATCTGCCACCTCCAGAAAGGGAGAGGTCTATGGCCACCCATGTTTAATGCTGAAAAATAGGAACATGCACTGCTGCTCTTTGACTGTGGAGAAGTCTGCGGAGGATTGCAGCTGCTCCTTCTAACAACTGGGTGGCCGTTCTTTTTCAGTGGCTCTGAAGAGAGTTAAAATTAAAAACATTGCTGTGGAAAGAACTGGGCTCACTCACACTCCTCTTGAACGAAGCAAGATGATTAAAGAAGGAGGAGGGTGGTTTATCCACTGCCAAATATCCTGCCTACTGCGTGAAAAATCTTCGGCAAAAGTTGAACTAATTTTATGAGAGAATTTTGCACCACAGAACTTGACCTTTGTGAGAATACAGGACACAAGCCAGGGCAGAGAAGAACAGAAGCAGTTTTATGCATTGTGGAAACAGGAACCATGAAAAACACTGCTTTGCGTTCTGAGTTGCCAGATCGTATAGAAGTCTATTTTTTTAAAGCACTTATAACCAGTCTATATTTCTTTAAGCACCTGTGATGCACCTATGATGTGTAAAAATGTGTACATGTGCTTTTAAACACCTTTGGATCTGAATTTGGGAACCATTAGTATAAGGCAATAATTTTCATTAAGTCTGTAACACATAAAGTTGCCTCTACACAGCCTTATCCTTACTTGTGTTCTGTTTCATATTATGTGTAACATTCCTTCCATCAGTGTTAATGCTGCATGTATGCATATTTTAAGCACAAATATTGCCTATCTGTATTCTTTATTTTAATTATATAGCTGTACATTGCATTAAGGATTGGTACAGAATATATATCTGGGTACAGATATTACTATTTACTAATAATCATGATTTCCTACAACTTAAAACTGACCTCTCCTACTCACACATTTTACCCAGCCATAGAATTTGTATACTTGAAGTCATAGGAAGTATTGTAAATGTTACTAAGAAAAAAAATGACATTAAAACTTTTGACCATTCAATATATTAAGTTCTATGAGAAATGGATGATAAAATTCAATGATAAAACCAAGATAAAATAAGAAATGAGTGTCAGGGCGATGCAGCATATGACAAAATGAAAGATAACCCAGCTGCAAGATGAAATTGTGCAGCATTTTTATAAATCACTAAAGCAGTATTTGAAATGCTGGCAAAATATTAAAAATGATTTTCTCCCGACTCAAAAATATTTTCCAGGGAAGTCATTTCACAGAGAGGGGGCCACCCCTAAAAAGTCCTTCCATTTAAAGCCACCCAGTGTGCAACTGGGGTGTGTGTGCAGAAAAAGGCCTCAGAGATTTATCTACTTTTGTAGATAAATATAGATAAATGTGCAACACATTTCTTAGAGGGGGAATGTCAGTTAGTTTCCATTTGTTTTTTTTTTTCCTGCTCTCCCAAATGGAAAAGGTTAAATGATAACAGTTATTTGGAAAAATACAGTCTTTTATATCTCAGAGAACAATGCTATTAGACAAAACACATTGTTCCAATTAATTAATGAACATTTTCCATGTGTAATTTTACTGTCCTTATTCCATTACAGTTCAACATTTCCTACTGTCATGGCTTGCATTCCTAAATGGTTCCACATGGCTAGTACTAATCTCTGTAACCAATTGAAGACCGATAATAAAAGAAAATACTTGGGTATAGAAGCATGATAATATCAAGTCACAAGCTGCAAGATCCAATGGGGTGCCTAAAATAATTTTTTCCTCAGATTTCTCAACACATTTTCTGAATGTTTTATTTTGGAGACACTAACATGTATCCAATCTTGAAATACAGTACATATATACATTTTATCATTCTTTAGCAACACTTGGACTGGATAAAAATAATAATTCTTTGTAAATGCATATAAATAAGTCCTCCCTAAACATGAAAGGTTGGGGAGACTGAGGGAAATTAAGTGTCTGGAACAGTTTTCAAAAATCTTGCACTGCCAGTAGAACAGGTTAATCAGCACAGTACAGCAGCTTTGAAGGAAGCCATTTCAATAATAAACACATTTTGGTGGTTTAAGTAAAAGACTTTCTATAGTAATTGAGAAATCTGCATATGATCTGCACAACCAGACTGTAGCACTTGGTTTTGTGCAGTACAGTTTCAATCTGATGTATAAAAATAGGGATTATCAACTGGTCCCCCAATGTCCCTGGAATATTTGGGGAATTTTGGGGTCAACTATGATAATAGTTCCCCAACACTGATACACTAATGTTATTGCAAAAAAGGAAGAATACCTCCCTGCTTTTTTCTGCTTGGCCCATGTTGGCCTCTTAACAAAAAGAAGGGCAGAATTCATGTCTGTAAGGCCACAATGTTGTTCAGCTGGATCTACAGCCAGAGCTTTATTCATTTTCTGAGCTTGGGAGCTTATTTCTGAGCACTAGCCATGAATAGAGTACACACTCGTTTTATGTCCCAAAGGTGTTTGTCAAAAGGCAACTGGTCTTTCTTAGTTTTTTCCTTGAAAACGTTTCGCTTCCCATCCAAGAAGCTTCTTTAGAACTGAACTGAGGAAGCTTCTTGGATGAGAAGCAAAATGTTTTTCAAGGGAAAAAAAAAACTAAGAAAATCCAGTTGCTTTCTTTGGGACAACCATGACCTGGATAATCGAGAATCTCCACAGATACACGTTTATGGAATAATTTTTCCCACATACATACCACTTATATTGTTTCAGCAGTATAATTCAGCACTGGAGAGGACTTTCTTCAAACAAAAACCTTTGCCAGTTTGGGTTTAAATAGTTATAGATAACAAGCCATCTTATGCCTGTTCTAACATCTTCAGAATTTCTTTTTCTTTTTTACCTGCTGCTGAAAATTTGGAATTAGCAGAAAAAGCAGTGGAAGATTTTGATATCTAAACTGATATCTAGATCAAGAAGACTGACAACCACAATGACAATTTTTCTTGGCTGCTGTATACAGTATATTTATTTTTGTACTGTATTATAATTGTTTTTATTATAGATTGCAACTTGCTTGAGATGAGCCTCTACAGAAATTAATTAATTATAAATAAGATTTGCTATCATCAAAGTAAAAGTAAAATATTTAAGACAGCGGTTCCCAATCTTCTCTATACCCTGCACTCCTAGAATGCTTCTGATATATTCTCGCACCCCTTACAAAAGTTTAAAATAATGGCCACGAATTATGCATATACATTATAATTTTGAAACTTCTAAACAAGTTTTTGCACCCCCTGGAATATCGTCTCGCACCCCCAGTTGGGAACCCCTGATTTAAGAGAATTTCTTAAAATTTAATAAGTTTTCTGCAGAGTTAAACAGACAAATAGCATGATCCCATACAGATTCCAAAAGCCTAAAGACCATGCAGCATTAAAAAAAATCTCCTAAACAATTTTCACTTTTACAAAAGACAGGTAAACTGGAATATAAAAGATAGAACTTTATCAAGCCTCAGATCTCTCCCAAATCTGCCATTCTCTTACTCTACAGAGCATCAGCAGGCAGATTTTTTTTAAAAAAATGGAAAAACCCAAGAACTTTTTGTTCCTTATCCAGATGAGCTGCCCTCTTTAACCAGAGAGAAAAGGTGGAAATCTGGACAATCTCAACTCCGTCTACTAATGTATTATGGTCTCAGTATGCTGAGTGTTGTGACATTAGCATTTGGCTTCAATTAGCTTCTTAGCATTTAAACCTGACATAGAGAGTTTGATATGTAGATAAATTATTAAATCCATATTTTCGTTTTGGAAAAATAATTACATTTCTTTCCATTCTTTGGGAAAGCTGTAAGCAGTTGGAAAACTGTAAAATTCATTTCCCACTCACCTACTTCTAATGGCTGTTCCTGACTGTGGGGTGAGACAGCTGGAGGAACGAATGTAAATTCAATGGTCCAGATCTACCAAAACTTTGCCACAAGCAGCCTTTTAGGCTTCTTTGGACTTTCTAGCTAGTGCAGTGTTTCTCAGACCGGGCAACTTTAAGATGTATAGACTTCAATTCTTTGGCTGGGTAATTCTGCTAGTTGAAGTCCACACATCTTAAAGATGCCAAGTCTGAATTGAGCCAGATAGAGATTAGGTCTTAAAATAAAATGGCAAGAAACTAATTGCTAATTTTTTTGTAAAATCAGAAACACTTGGATTAGGAAAAGGCTTCTTTTATTTTACTAAAATATCAGTTCTGATTGTGGGTCACATATATAATCCTACTTATATGGATCTTTCTTATTATTACCCTAATACTCTAAATCATCCTTGCTGCACAAAATGTGATAACTAATTTTAAAGGAGACGCATCTTAATAGGCAAAACTTCAGTTAAAATGTGGAAACAGCATGATTGGAAAACCCTAACCATCAGGTGACCATACACAACATTTATTCAGAAAATGATCAACTTTCTAAATAATTTTCAGCTTACCATTTCTTTGTTTGAAGGACTCTCTGGCCCTAGACATCCCCCAAGTAAAGATCTGAAAGACAGAAGAAAAGACTTGATATAGGTCATTCAAAATAAGCACCTGGTATGCAAGCAGGAGTTCTTATATATCTATTTAAATTAAAGTAACCATTTCTTAAATTCAAACCATCTTCAATGATTTGCGATGTATTTGTATTCAATTCTCTATCAATAATTCACAGTTCTGGGAATTACTAATTTGACAAATGCTCATTGCAACCTTGTAAATTTTCATCATCCCACAGTGAATGTAGGGATATTGTCAGGTACAAAGAAACAGGACCACATAGATTTATTCAAGCCTATACCCAAGTATCTGATTAACTAAAGTTCAATCAGATCAAAAAAATTCAGGAAGGGTTGGACTTGGAATGCTTGTGGGAGTGCAATGATTCTAAGTTGATGATGCATTTAACTCTGCCCCCCCCCCACCAGCTCTGCCTGCTTTTCTCCTTTAGATATAAACATAATTTTATGGACTGTGCTGCTTCTATTTATACTATTGAGCCACAATGAACTCTAAAATTTTGCATAAATGTGATTATGGAATCAGTTTGTTTGTTTTTTTCATAACAGGGTGGGTGGTATCTAAATCCCAAGAAAGAATATTTAGTATGATCAAGCTCTATGCATTTGAATAAACATTGTATATTTGAAACTTTTAAACATCCATCACCAGACCAATCAGAATTGTAATTTATGACAATTATGCATATTGTATGATAATAACAGAACCCCCCCACAAGCCAAAAAGCCCCTCCCAAACAGTCCCCACAAATATTCAAAGTGTCCTTAAAGCCCTACATGGTCTGGGGCAAGATTATTTGAGGGATCATCTTTTCCCAGTTACATCTACCCAACCCAATAGAATGGGAAGTCAGGATGTGCTACAGGTCCCCTCTCTTAAAGGGTTTCATCTAATGGGACCAGGAAAAACGGCTTTCTTCATGGTGGCTCCCTCCCTGTAGAACATCATCCTTGCAGAAATAAAATTGACCTCTTTTGTATTTCGGGATTTGAGGCATTGAAGCACGACACATCGTAAACCAAACTTCTTTATTTCTCCTTAACTCCACTCCAAGCAACTGCAAAACAGGCACACAGGACTTTTATAGTTTTCTAACCCCCAGGCAGTCCAGCCAATAAGAATCCCTCTTTCTTTGCGCCTTGCGCATGCACAGTAGTCCGGCGCCACCCAGTCTGGTCCCGGGCAGCTTTTAGGTTGCCCGGGACCATTTGCAACATTTCTGGGCCTGCTGAGTTCCTTCATCAGGCCCAGGACACAACACCCCTCCCCACTAGATAGAATACACTCCTTCCAATTTTTCACAATCATAATAATAAAAATAAAAAATAAAATAATATTCCTGCTCACACGCAGGCAATATTCTTATAAAATAATAGGGTTCTCTAACAACCCACCCTTTAATGTGGACTTCCTATGTCTATCTTCTACCCCACATAGGTCCAACTCCTATCCTAGACTAGTAAGGTTTCCTTGTGCTGACAGGAACCTCACATATTCACCTAGGTGCTTAGGAAGGGCCTTAGCCCTTTGTGACCTACGCAAAGTCAGGGAGGTCACCTGTCAGCTCACCTGCTCAGCTAGGCAGACAGGACTTGTACTTAAGGGTGCCTGGCCTACCAGCCCGTCTGGTGGGCTCGCTAGACCAGAACTTTTATGCACAAATTTTGAAGGTGACCCCTGGTGAGGTGTGCTGGTAGAGTTGCCGGGGCTCTTCCCAGGTTCCATTAGAGCAGAGGAAATTCCCCAACCCCCTGGAGTGGCTGAGGACTCCCCAACTACCCTGTATGGCTCCAGGAAACTTAGTCCCTCAAGCCCGCGACCAGTCTCGGACATGACGTGCGTTGCAGGAGTGCCCCAATAGTTCCAGTCCCCTCTGGCCGAGGTGCCAGAGTCAGGAGCTGCCTCTATGGCAAACCCCTTCTCAGGAGAATTCCTGTTTGGAGCTCTTGCGGATACACATGACTCCCTGTTTGGCACAATAATTGAACCATGAGGATGCCCTTGCTCCTCCCCTGGGAAGTCCCTAGCGACCTGCGGTAATTCCCAGGAACAATGAGACAGGGTCTCTGAATGTTGACCTGAAGTGTGATGTAGTTCCTGGGCCCCCTCCCCCTCGAGAGTGGAGGCAGGGGCGGAATCAACAGGGGATAACCGCCCCTGTTGATTCTGCCAGTGCAGTTGATCGATGTGGCGCCGCAGGACATGGCCACCTCCCAAGGTCACTTCGTATGATAGAGGTCCAGAGATCTTACAGATGACAGCAGGAACCCAGAAATATCCAGGACCATAGTTCCTAGCCCAGACCGGATCGCCCACCTGAAGTCTCTGAGGAGCCCGTTGCTATGACACCTGGTTGGTGTGCAATATGTCTAACTTTGTGATGAGGTGGCAGCCCCAGCGGAGTTCAGCTGGGCTCTTCCCCATGGCAGTTCAAGGTGTGGTGCAGTGTGCAAGAAAGTCTGCTAACCTGTGATGCCAGCTGCTGTGTGTTAGTCTTTTGAGTGCATCTTTGATGGTGTGCGCCATTCTTTCAGCTTGCCCGTTGTATGAACCAAGCTCTGAACTAAAAACATCCGCAAACTCTTTGCAGACTTCTGCAAGTCCTGGAGTTTGCAGACTATTCAGACCAGTCACCTGAATTCCCAGGGCCTCAAACCAGTCGAGTCCAATTAGACTTGTACGATCACCCCCAACAATCACCACATCTAAAAGGCCTTGGAAAGCCTTACCCTGCACCTTGAATGTGGCTTCTCCTAATACATTAACCTTTGAATTTTGAAAGTCAGTAAGAATTAGGTTTGATGGCCTGAGTTTGACTCGACAGCCACTACTGCAGCAAATCCTTTTAAAAGTATTGTGTGAAATGATTGATAGAGCGGACCCGATGTCCAGTCCATTGATAAGGGAACCCCTTGTAACTGTACATCAATGCGAAGCTTCTTTTTAAGGGGCTTGTGTGTCCCCGTTTGCAAGATGCTTCTACGCAATGCGCAGAAACCCACCCTGTGTTGGGGACCCTGGTACCTTTCCAAAGGGATTCTTCCCAAGGTTGCACTTGCTGGTGACCCAAACAAATGGTGCCAATGTGGCCTTGCTTACCACATGCCCGGCAATTGGCAGAGTGGAACTGGCAGTCTGTCCGCTTATGGCATCCTCCGCAACCGAGAAGGGCTGCTGGGGCCTTGTCGGGTTTCTCTCACGGTCTTCTCAATGCCAGCTGGTGAAGTCTGTCCACCTCCTCTTCAGGATCCGAGCCTTGGACTTCCTGAGCGACCTCTTGATGGACGGTCGAGACAGTTGGAGTGTTTCTGGCAAGCCGCAGAGTCTTCACAGTGCTGCCTGCTGCTTCTTCAGCTGCAACTTCATGTAAGACATCTTGGAAGGTGACTTCAGCTTTAGCAAAGATTTTTTGTTGCAGCTCCCTGCTTCTCAGGCGGCAGACGAAACAATCTCGTAAGCGTTCTTCCAGGTCCTTAAATTCACAAGGTCTGGCAGCTTGTCTCAAAGCAGCAATGAACTCAGCGGCAGACTCACCCGGCTTCTGATCCCTCTGCTCAAAATCATGCCTCCACGCGATCACAGACAGCTTGGATTGGAAGTGATCCTTCAGCATGTTTTTTAGGTCTGTATAGGTGACAGACTCCAGTGGTGCCAGGTCTACCAGGTTCTTGGCTACATCGAAAGTGTCCTGACCGCAGATGCACAGCAGGGTTGCTGCTTTCAAGCCGTCTTCCCGAACCTGGTTAACCCTTAGGTAATTTTCCACCCGGGCCACGTAGGACTTCCAGAGCTCCAGGTGAGAGACATCAAACTCGGACAGACCTCCAATCTTTGACATCTTCTGCTTCGAATGCCTCGCTGCAAGCCTTTGTTGAGGGGAGGGGCCCGTTTGCCAAGCTCACCTCCAGCGATGCTCTATTGGCAGGTAAGTGCAGAGCTGGATGCTGATTCCCAAGCTTCAGGCTTTTCAGATGGTGCTTATCCTCTTCTTACTGCCTTTTTCCTTGCAGCGATCCCACCCTCGTCGCCATTTTTGTGTTTCGGGATTCGAGGCATTGAAGCACGACACATCGTAAACCAAACTTCTTTATTTCTCCTTAACTCCACTCCAAGCAACTGCAAAACAGGCACACAGGCCTTTTATAGTTTTCCAAACCCCAGGCAGTCCAGCCAATAAGAATCCCTCTTTCTTCATGCCTTGCGCATGCGCAGTAGTCCGGCGCCAGCCAGTCTGGTCCCGGGCAGCTTTTAGGTTGCCCGGGACCATTTGCAACATTTCTTGGCCTGCTGAGTTCCCTCATCAGGCCCAAGACACAACCACCTCCATCTTAGTGCTCTTTCGAAAGGCCCTGGAGACATGGTTTTGCCAATAGCACTGGAGACCCAAGGGTGATATGGAGCCCATCTCATAGTTGGTTTGATTGATGTCACTGGGGGGGCAGGGTATTAGGTTTCGTATTAAGCTTTTATTTCTGTAAGCCACCCAAAGTCATTATGAGTTGGGACGGCATATAAATATTTTTAATAGTAAAATGTAAACATGACTTCAACAATTTTATGCATATGTTTGTGAGATTTCTGATTCTTGGGATAAGATATCAGAAACCACATGAAATTTCAGCCAGGTCTAAAAAAGGTATATTTTAATAAATCCATCCTGGCTTAAGACAATAAAATCAAACTTGCAATCCAAAGTGGAAAAAGCTGACCATGCTCCATGGTATTAGAATGAGAAAGGGATCCTTCCTTGAAGGCACCATCAAGACAAGGACTTTACATGGTCATATTTTGCTGTCAAGTCCAACAGTCTGTTTTTGAATATCTAAAACTATAGGCATGTGTTTACTTAGATATCACACTTCAGAAAGGAGTGTGTACAAGTGCAAATGCAGGAACTGCCCTCGATGGTTATTTTGCAATGTATATGCAAACATAATGGTTTCATTCCAGATCTTTGACTCTGGTTTTTCCTTCTTTTTCTTTTA